TTAAAATTGTCTGCTACTGTTTTTAGATTTTTTCATAATATTAATCTTTCTTCTAGAAGATTGCTAGCATAGATAGTAGAAAGAAGTCATGAATTAGGGTTGTTAGGTACCTTTATCATGGCATGGACATCCTGATTCGCGGAGCCAATTCGGTCAACAATGATGTCTCCATTTTTCCACATGATTGCGATACCTCCTGAGTTGCCTTGTGCAGCAACTTGTATTAAGTTGTTACATTACCATCTTGTAAATGAATTTTAAGTTTTATTATTTTTCAATAAATTTTGAGTTTAGTGATTATTTTTTATGAATTTTATACAATCACCTTAATGGATAATATGTGTATTAGTTGAAAAAATTATTTAATGGACGCTAACTCTTTTTTTCTTGGTATACTAGAAAACAAAGTTTATTAATATCTATCATAAATTACATAGCCTAAGCAAGCCAAGAAAACAAACTCAATTTTTTTATTCGCATCTTCCCAAATTACCAATCTTCTTCATGTTTATGGCCTTCGTTTGCTAAAAAAATTGCACGTTACCTCCTTCTAAATGTGTATAATGGTTGTCCATGTTATTTATCTGTATTGCTGTAAATTAAATAATAATATTTCTGAAAACAGAAACAGAAAGTTAGTAGAAATTAAATTTCGAAAACAGTAAACTTCTTCAAAATAAATTCTGGAAAAACGTTATAGGAACAAATCGAGCCCACTGAATATACAGTGTGCCCTTAAGGAAATTATTCCCCTCAAGTACTCGAGGTTATGGAATATATCCTCCCAGGATAGAACGATTTAACTCAACAGTGTATCGGTACCTAAAACTCTGGTGATCGGCGAGCCACTCGATGGTCGTAAAACACACTGGAATATTTTGTGTAGAAGAAGAAGAAGAAGATTCAGAAAATTTCGCAAGTTAATATTCTGGGATTTGAAGGTCTATTTATAGCCAACTTGGTGATGTTTCTGAAGAGGTTTGCAACCTTTCAGAATAGTCATGACTGTTGGAACAGGTGTGACCCTCTGAAGAGGTTTGCAACCTTTCATGGCTGTTGGAAATTTTTGCGGGAAATTTAAAACGAATTTAAATTAATCCGGGAAAGAAAAAACGGGCTAGACCGGACCGAGTCGCGGGTCATCCCTCCATTTCTTTTCCCACCATTTTTCATTCACACCTCTTTTGTTATTATTTATTAAATAACAAATCCAACAATCCCCACATGAATGGGACGTGTGTGTGTTTTATAAGCAAGAATTGATTACCTCTGGATAAGTAGGTTTCCCTTTGAACTTTCCGTAGTGAACTTATATTGGATATACTCGGTAATTGGTAGATTTGATATCTTTGAACCATCGAGCTTTGTTGTATACCTAGACAACATAAGTCACACAATCAATCCTTAACCATCTATGGTTCTCACGGTTGTATTCGTTTCAACCATGAACACTGCCTGGTTTCATGAGTGCTTAGAGAACGGGCCTTTACTTTCATTCTCCTTGAAGCGGCTTACACTTCACACTCACATAGGTGATTCCTAAACGTGTAATCCTAAAGACACACTATCTGGTCATATCCTGCCAGACTTAGCAAATCATTAAAAAGCTTTAAGCTTTATTGACTCATCAAAAAAGCCTTAATGCTTTACCTCGTTTTTGAACATTGTCTTCATCACGAGAATGGGTTGAGTTAGTTGACAATGTTGAACCGTCATTCATAACTTTGTTTGATCTCTTTGAACCTAGCTCTTGGGATCTCCAGTCTGCTAGGTAGAGTTACCACCATGATGACTTGTCCTAGGCCTTTAACCCCATTCCCTTTTATGATCTTTCAACCGCCTCTCTAGATAGGCCTTTTGTAAGTGGATCCGACACGTTATCTCTTGACTTTACGTAGTCTATTGTGATAACACCACTAGAGAGTAGTTGTCTAACAGTATTGTGTCTCCGTCGAATATGACGAGATTTCCCGTTATACATAACGCTCCCTGCCCTACCTATCGCCGCTTGACTATCACAATGTATACATATAGGTGCCAAAGGTTTGGGCCAAAATGGAATATCTTTCAAGAAATTCTGGAGCCATTCAGCTTTTTCACCGGCCTTGTCTAAGGCTATAAACTCAGCCTCCACTGTAGAGCGGTCAATGCACATTTGTTTGGACGATTTCCAAGACATCGCTCATCCACCGACTGTTTAGAATCGGTTGAACCGGTGATCTAATTTGCATCACTATACCCCTCTATTATCGTGGGATACTTATTGCAGTGCAAAGCATAATTTGGAGTATATTTCAAATGAACGTTCAATGCGAACTTCCTAATGTTGTAGATTAATACGTCTCGATTTTCGATTGCATATCAGATTATTGACTACACTTAATGTAGTAATTATAACAACAACTGGAATGATTGGCATCAGTTGTGGCCACAACCTTTTAATATATAACACATTTCGTAATCATTCCGCCATTTTCAAGCATTTGTATGCTATTCATTCATATGTCTATATGATATGCAAATTATAGCACCTCCATTCATGAAACAAATCCAACTTGCAATGGATTTTGGTCATGTTCATCGGTTAGTTCACCTCATTATATACCAACGTATTAATATATTCGTTCATGAACGGTCATGTCTATACAGACGTATCTTTCTATGAAAAGTCACAACCTTCAAATTGACATCATTTCATAAAAGAACTAAACAATATAAATTTTCATTCAAGAAAATGACCTTTTGAGAAAGGCATGTGACCAACTTCCGAATTAGTAGTTTCATCAACTAGTCTTTATTAAGACTAAACAACTGATGATTTTACCAACTACTATATCAATGGAGTTCAAAAATTATATAATTTAGACATTACGTCTAACATTGGCTTTTGTCATGCATAAGCTAAAAGCCCCCACATTTTAAATATTTCATCAACATATCATATATAATCAAATAATGACTATATAATTTGAAGTATTCTTAACGTAAACACATTTGTTTACACTCATTAATTTTAAAACCATTTGACAATATTATTTGGTCAAATCTCGCATGTCATTGTTTACTAAACAATTGCATCCAAACGTTACGACTTTCCCGGTTTCTCGGCCGGAGGAACAGCAGTGCGGCTTGACGAGGCTATCGTCGTTTGCACCAACAATCGCAGAAGGAATTCCATTCTCATTTGCCGTTTCTTACAGTGAACAACAGAAGAGATCAATTAATGGCAAAACCAAAATAGTAAATAATACTGTAATTAATAAACAATACGTAATAAAAACAACTGAAGTTTTTATATACTGTTTTACATAAAAAACGATGAAGTTTTATGTTCTTCAAATCGTTTTCTGAATTTCAATACCCTGATGAAGTTTTTATATCTTCAAATCAGAATAATAAAATTCAGACAGAATACAGAATATAATAAATATAATTTCCTTAAGATTGTTATTTATCTGTATTGCTATAAATTAAATAATAATCTTTCTGAAAACAGAAACAGAAAGTTAGTAGAAATTAAACTCCGAAAATAGTAAACTTATCCAAAATAAATTCTGGAAAAACGTTATAGGAACAAATCGAGCCCACTGAATACACAATGTGTCCTTAAGGAAATTATTCCCCTCAAGTACCCGAGGTTATGGAATATATCCTCCCAAGATAGAACGATTTAACTCACCAGTATATCGGTACCTAAAACTCTGGTGATCGGCGAACCACTCGATGGTCGTAAAACACACTGGAATATTTTGTGCAGAAGAAGAAGAAGAAGATTCAGAAAATTTCGTAAGTTAATATTCTGGGATTTGAAGGTCTATTTATAGCCAACTTGGTGATGTTTCTGAAGAGGTTTGCAACCTTTCAGAATAGTCATGACTGTTGGAACAGGTGTGACCCTCTGAAGAGGTTTGCAACCTTTCAGAACAGTCATGGCTGTTGGAACAGGTGTGACCCTCTGAAGAGGTTTGCAACTTTTCAGAATAGTCATGGTTGTTGGAACAAGTGTGACACTGTTTCAGAACAACCATGGCTGTTGGCATTTTTTGCGGGAAATTTAAAACGAATTTAAATTAATCCGGGAAAGAAAAACGGGCTAGACCGGACCGGGTCGCGGGTTATCCCTCCATTTCTTTTCCCACCATTTTCCATTCACACCTCTTTTGTTATTATTTATTAAATAACAAACCCAACAGTCCATTCTGGCAACTGCTCCATAACCTTTAGAGGGGGATAGAATAATTTTTTTTTATTTTCAAAAACTTATATTTTTATAATATTTTCTTTTACACCTTGATTATATTTGTTTATATATTAATATAACTTTTACATTTATGTGGTTTGGGAACTATCTAATAGCCTGTTTGGCCAAGCTTTTCCCAAGCCAAAAATGTTTTTTTTTCTTCTTCAAAAAAGTATTTTTTTTCTTAATTTGAGGTGTTTGGCCAAGCTTTTTGGGGGAAAAAGTGCTTTTGGCTAGAAGCAGAAATAATTTTGAAGAAGCAGAAAAAGTAGTTTCACCCCAGAGGCAGAAGCAGAAGCAGAAGCAGTTTTGACTTAGCAAAATATTATATACACCAAAATAACCTTACTTAGTTTAAGGTATTAAGTAATATAGAATGAATTTTGGGATGAACTTTCATATTCATTGAATGTTTTTAGATATATTCAAATTATCTTGAAAGAACAAAGTACTTTTTATTTTTATTTTTATATTTTATATTTTAATTAAATAAAATAAAAAGACTTAATTATTATCTTTATATAACATTAGCTATTAAGCAAATCTCTTCATGTCGCTATTCGTAATTGAAAAGCACTTTTTAAAAAGTTTGGCGAAGCACAAATTATTGTTTAAAAGTGTCTTTTTAAATTGATTAGCCAAATATAAACTGCTTTTCTTTAGCATGTACATTTTCATATTTTTTTTTTGGGGAATTTATTCTTATGTCCAAACGCCCACTTAGAGCTCATCCAAAGGGTTTCCGTGCGAATTTTTCCAAAAATAAAATTTGATAAGCAACATTATTGAATACTGAAATTTCCTCCTACATCTAAAGACACGGAACCCGAGGAGTCAATCAGGTTTCTTGTCTTCAAATAAGACACTCTAATGGCTCCTTAAAAAAAATGGCTCCTTAGACCTTTCTAGAGAGAGAAATATCGCAGAAAGAAAAGCAACTGGGTTTTTTTATTGAAGACGCAGCCCCTGAGACATGCATGCTACGTTTTAGACCTAATTTCTAGAGTGAGATTGAAAATTTACTTCCATTTAAGGTACATGTTTAAGCCATTTATCAATTTTTAAGCTACGTTCGTTCTATACATTTTGTGTTGATTTTGTTGGATCAGTTGCATTTATGCAGAAATTGAGCTAAAAAATGGTCTGACTAACAACACAGTGTCTCGTAGTAGTAAGTACGAAACAAGCTGGTCTTGAAATGTTTGACTACTCTTTACCATTTTTCTGTGAAATTCAGCTCAGAGAGGACTTGAATAGAAGCATATTCATTTTTTGTTGCATGTGCAATATGCAATTGGATATGATTCCTGTATAGTATAGTAAATGCTTATTGAGAATGAAGAAATTTAGTAGTAATTCCTTGTTATGCCTATTGTATTTCAGTAAAGAACCTTGTGTTTGGCATTTTGTGGGGAAGCCTTGGGTTTGTCATGAAGCATCACATTTTGACTTTTGGTTCTTTATTTGTTTTCATCCACCATCACAAAAGGATAAGGAAAATGGCATCAGCTTCTACAGATGAAGTGGTGAATGCATTGCTGGAATACTTAGTTAGTCCTCGCTTGCCTTTGAAATCTTCTGCCATTAAGGAACCTCCCTCTCTTTCTCAGCAGCACTCTGTTGCCAAACAGGTTAACAATACCTTCTCTCTTCACCTTCTATACTCATTGCCTGCCCTTCTTTTTGACCCTTGACATTTATTTGAAAAAGGAAGCATGACTGACTTTAATGTTCCTTTTTTATTTTTTATTAACTCATTGTTCCTTTCGAAAATTCCTTTTAATATAACACTTTTGAGGATGTGTTACCATAGCAGTGTGTTCAAATAACGAGAATGGACTTACTTTTTGTTTCTCAGTTCTTATTTACCTGTTATAAATTTAGAAAAGACCTTGGAATGGAGAAGATTAATTTTGTAAATTGTCCAACAAGATCTTCGGCTGGCTTCTGAATTCTTTTCCTTCTTCCTTTTTTCTGTCTTCAGTTGCATGCTGTTGTGTTACTTTACAACTACTACCAGAGGAAGCAAAATCCTCAGGCACAAAATTTAGACTTTGAGTCATTTTGCAAATTGGCTGTGACTCTAAAACCGGCTTTGGTTTCATACATGAAGTTCATGAATCAATCTGATCTAACTGGCTCCAAGGACACGGACAATGATCTTTCTGTAGCTGAAAAAGCAATTCAAGATGCTTGCAATATATCTTGCGCTTTAGATGCCTCCAAAAATGTTCCGTCTATAAACAAATGGCTAATTGCCAAAGTTTCTGTCTTATTACTAGACTCTAAGAAAGAAACTTGTTGGCTGCTTTATAGTTCTGTCACAGATGGCGTCTGGTCTCTCCTCGAAAAAAATCTTGAGCTTCCCTCTGCTGATATGGTGGAGGGAAAACATCTAAACAAAAAGAGGCGAACCAGTATGAGACCAGTGACGGTAGAGCAAAAAGATGATGACTCTGGCTTTCAGCAGTTTGCGTTTTTGGCCGTCAAGGATGCAACAGGTATGTGAATATCAGAATTCTATTTGTAATATATTTCTAGATTGGCGAAATTAATTTGTCCCTAGGCTGCTCCAGATCATAAGCTGATTTCCTAAGTTCTTAGAATGCCTTTGCTAGCAACAAGTGTCTTAAATAGTGTTTTCTCACGCCTGGGCGGAGAAAGAACTGGTCGACAGAGCTTTGACCTAGGCAGTGCGATCTTTCTGTTCCTGTTTTATAAAAATGAACTGCTTGAGTTACAGGTTTGTTCTGATTTAGAGAGCATTGTGTCATGTATTAGACTTTACTTGATATGGAGCAGGTATTTCTCGGTCTGACCTTGTGGTTTTGGAGAAGCATGTGGTATATTCACTAACTAAAGAAAAGGCAGCATCTTGCTTTTACATCATGCAATGTAAATCAATCAATCAGGGCATTCAAATTCCTGTCAAGGAGATTTTTGAGAGGTTAGTTCTTGTTTTTTTAACTGCTTTGGCTTAGAGAATAATTGGGCTTATTTTATCAAGGGTAGTTTAAGAGATGGGCTTTTTCTACAAGAACTCTTGTATCTCTAGTCTTAGAATAGCTCATTTGTTTGATGATACTGCTAATTTTTGTGAAGAAATGATGTGATGGTTTCTCAAGTTCATCAATATTTACTTTCTTTGACAGAATCACGTGAATAAGTAGAGTGATTCGTTTGTATACTCTTGTCCTTGAAGAGCAACTTAAAGTAGGTTTATGGCATTAACTATGCTGAATTTGAAGATTATAATATCGTCTTGTGTTGTTATGGGACGAACATTGAATATTGATAAACTCACAGTCAAAGAACAATCCTAAACATCCACTAGGTGAAGTCAAAAGGCGTAATTGCTTAAATAATTTGTCAGTAGCATTAATTCATATATTCTGGTACCTTTTGCTGCTAGAAAAAGAAAAGTGATAACTGTTTATCTCTGTAGTTTACAGGGTCCGTTGGTGAAAAAGAGTTCTGGTAGTTGGTCCACTACTGAAGTAGTTGAGTACTTTCATCTGCTTCCCTATGCCAATATCATGTCAGCCTTTCTTCTGAGGTACCTTCAATTTCAATTGGGCTTTGTTTGTGGTGAGTTGTCAATAGATCTTGCTTTGATAGTCATTCACTGTCTGGCTAAATTGGGTTTTCGTTCTGCTTTGATAGCCAGAGCGTAGAGGAACCAGTAAAAAAGATAGAAACAAAGACGCCTGATGAAAGTTATGAAGTTTTAATTGGAACAAAGTCAGATCGTATAAACCTAGAAATTTCAGAGGCAAAACATGGTGATGGTCGCAAAAAAGTTAGTCATTCTGCAGTTGGTCAAGAAGCAACTGCTTTAGATGGCCACCAGAGGATAAGGAAAAGTGAAGAAGCTGAGAGAGATAATTCAATTAAAAATACAGAAATTGTAGATTTCAGTGATGATAAGCTATCTGATGTCAACTTGGAATGTCTATATGATACAAGTAAAAAGGTACACCACGAAAATAGCAGAGACTATAAAGATTCAACTGCAAAAGAATTGTATGATACCATCAACCGTCCAAGGACACGAGAAGATAAAGCTGAGGAGCTGGTGAAGTCCACTAAAAGCTGTGAAATCAATGATTTTAATGGAATGGAGTTAGCTGGTGCTCATCCTGAACCTTTGGAGGTGCAAATGAATGATGATTATCACTTTTCTAGGTCTCCTACTAGGCCTCAGAGGATGGACATTGATGCTTGTATTCCCTGCTCCAAAGATGGAAACAGTAAGGATTTTAAGCTTATTACAAAGTTTTACCATCACGAGAAAAAGAGGACGAGGGTGAGTGGTGGAGAAATCATTGGAGGTGGTGTAATTTGCAAGGTAAGACATTTTCAGTTAATGTAGTAAAAGTTTTGAATTTACGATGCATTGGTCTTATTTGTTCTTAATAATCCTCCCTTTCTCTTTTCAAGAGCATTCGTGAAATTACCCACTTGGGATGAACTGGCGATCAATATTTTAAATGAAGGGAATTTCATCTAGAAATAGCACAATTTTTTAATAGAACTCTTTTTTTTTTCCCTAAGGTTTTTACGGTTGTGCATTCTGTGCTGGTTCCAAAGCAGACATTAATTCCTTTCCCTGATAAATCTGTGATACATTCAATTGCAGTTTTGGATGATATACATTCTTTATTTTAATATGTATCTTCCTCAAGCCTTGTACAGGGGAGGCATCCACTAGTAACATGAGGAAACCCAATATAGTAACATGAGGGAAAACTCTAAGGGCACTTTGTGTTAAAGAGTTTCCTCATGTTACTATATTGAACTTTATTGAATGATGCTTGAGATAGTTGTTGAAATGGTAGTTTGTAAAAGAGATACTACAAGAAGTTGACAAGGGAAAAATAATGTAGTTTTATGCCCTTATCCTAATGTGAGTACCTGGAAATAGCGAACTTTTCCTTTTAGGAAAAAATAAGTCAAAAGAATTGGATGGACTGTGTAGGAGATCTAGGCTGAGGCAATGTGTGATGGAGGATATAGTTTTATTCTTTGGGAAGGACATACGGCTGCTGCTGCCTTTTATTAGGCGTTATTGTAACTCCTTAGGCATCAAATCAAGTTGATGGAAGTCCTTTTCTTTTTCATTTTTTTTCCTGGAGATGAGAGAATCCCCTTCATTCTTCATTTCATTGTCATATTTGATACCAAGCATTATTTGCAGGCAGAAAGAACTGATGAAGGGAAGGCTGGTAAAGAGTGTGGCCTTTCCACTATCTCACCCAATCGAAATGGGATTTCAGTGGCACATACTGCACTTGTTCCTTATCAGCATGATACTATGGATATAGGCGATTTACAAACTGTTTTGGCTTCAAAAGAGAAGGCTTTAACACAAAGTGCCCTTAGAGTTCTTCTTCATAAACGAGAGAAACTGGTAATTTTATGTTTGGTATGACGTAGAATATATGTGTCAAGAGCCTTTTCATTTGTTTATTTGCTATTAATACTGCTGTTATTCCTTGATCAATTTAAATTTGATAATCAGTGTTTGGAAAGTTTGGAGATGTCCCTTTTGTTGTGTCAGGTCTTATAGACAACAGAGCAATGGGTTCCAAACTAAAATCCAATTGCTACTGTTTCCAGCTCCAATGCTCTAAATGATTAGCAATATACTTACGGCTTTTTCCTGATCTATGCTGGTGAGCTGATAATTCAATTAATATTACTTATAGGACCACATTTATTTTTTCCTTTTCCCTTCGATCTTCCTAAGTATATTTTAATCAATCTTAATTCATTGTTTTTTCATCTGACTTCTGCTTAATCCAAAATGAGACACTAGGTTCACCTATTAATTCCTCAAGTTGGACTTTTTTGTAAGACGAAGACTATGATGTATATTTTCTGAACTGACCACTTAAAATGTCAATGAATCAAGAATGTTCATCCTTCAAAATATAGTCCGGTATTATATTATGGTCCTTAGCTATGTACTTTTAATGGGCCAAAAGTCTTGTGGAGTTTTCCTTTTTCTGTCTCTTATGCCTTCTGAGTTATTTTACTATTATTTTTCTTATTTCCATTTTAAAAATTTTGTGGACTAACTTTTTAATCTGATTAGTGGAGCTTACACTTTATTTGGTTCTCAGTAATATCAAGTTGCATTCATTTCTTGGCAGTGTCATCAACAACATAAAATAGAAGATGAAATAGCATTATGTGATAAAAGTATTCAAAGAATCTTAGATGGTATGATTTCTATCTCAGGCTTTAGTAGCTTTTTTTGTTTCAGTTTCTTTGTGCTAGTATTACTCTTTTTACATGGCTTGGTACTGTATGGATCAAAATTATTTTCTTCTGCTTGTTTGTTTTTCTTCCTCTCTTGTTTGATCTTTTTTAAGAAATGAATGTCAAATGAACTAAGTTTCTATCCAAACTAGTTGCCTCTGTATCTCCTTTTAGACCCATTTTATTCCAAGCTGACACGGTGAGTGTGTAGTGGGCATGTCGTAATGAATTCAACCTTTAGGAGATTCATCATAGTTAGACTATTCTCATGCTGGTTGTCAAACCTACCCGCAACCTTCCTTTATGCATATGCTTGGGACTGAAGGAAGTCAAAACTAAAGTAATTACTCCATTTTTTGACCTCAACTAATGTATGAATATAAAACCTTGATGCATTATCATGTTAGAAATTATCAAATGCAAAAAATCAGTATTGCAGAGTTGGATAACTGAAGTACTGAACATGGAAGAGTCATAACATTGTATTTCTTCTCTCTTTGTTAAGCAATTAGATACAGTTGCTTGTGCATAAAAGCTGCACTCAAAACAACTAGAAAAGCTATGAATATTATATCTCACATCGTAAGTGTATTGCCAGTTTTATCATGTATGGACAGATGTTAGAGTTGATAACGCAACTGTTATGCATGGAGTACAGCAAAGACCCTAGGGTGCTTTGTCCTAAGTTAAGAGGGGACTAAAATGGTTTCCTTTCTCTTGCTTTCTTTTTTGTTCTCTCTGTGCTGGAGGGTGGGTGGGTGGTGAAGAGGTACGGTGTGGTTGAGAACTGTGATTAAATGAGGCTTTGGTGGCCAAGTTTCCTTGTGGAGGTTTTGATTCCTCGTCATGATTTCATAGTTTCTTGGAGTTGTGAACTACTCAGAACTGCTGTGTCATGAACTTGATCTAAATTACTGAAGGTCAATGTGCTCATGTTATTTTAAGCCTTGTAGGTGGCAAAGATAATTTGGCTTTAAAACTAGAAACGCTACTAGGCTTCTGTGATGAAATGTGCTTGAAGGATAGAGCTGCTATCCAAGAAGAAGTCCATCAACCTGACGAAGAGCTTGGATTGGTTCAACCTATGATTGGAAGGAAATTGCCCAAAGCTGTATGCACGTCACAACGTGCATCTCAGGCATGTTTTGGCATCAGAACTTGCTTGAATTCTCTCTCCTCTTTTTTCAGTGTTTGTTCCATGCTTTATAACTTGATCATTTCCATTTAGATTAATGATGTCTTGTGCTCTTGGTATGCTCAAGCATCATGTCCGATAATTTGTCCCTGTGTCCCTTAGTGTGTTGGGTGATCCTTAAGAAATGCTTGTGTTGACCATACAATACTATCAGCCTTGCCTGCACGGGACTATATGTCATCTCTTTTTTTATTGCTCACATTTTTTCCATTTTCTGAATAGCGCATCTTATGAAGCATTTACTCTGTTGTCATTTTCCCCAATTAAATGTAACAATTTTTCTTTTGGCAGGACTTGTATCAAATATGTTGTGTGAATAACTGGACGTTTCCATCATATAGTGTGTCAGCAACAGATGGTATATCATTTTTCATATATGCGAATGTTTTTTTTAAACCGGTAGAATACATTGATGTGAATATTAGATGGCTTCTGGTGTATTACTGCTACTACAGTGTGCTTGTGTATTTTTTTTTTTTTTTTAAATTTCTAATAAAGATGGTGTAACAGCTACTCGAAATGCGGTTAGCTGGAATACTTGCTTTAGGGAAATTCCACAAGGGAATGGGAGGGTAAATTTAGGGGCCATATAAGGGTGAGTTCAGGATTTAACTGTTGAGGCACCTTTTGGGTTAAAGCCCAAGAGGAAAAAACCGTGAGGCGCAAAAACCTTGAGGTGGCCCAGAGCTACCAGGCCAAAGCGGACTATACCTTGGCAGTTGGGCCTGGGCCGTGATTGATAGTTGAGAACATCTGGTTGCTGATTATAAAGATCAAATGTTTCTTGAAACAAAGAGATGGAAGTAGATCTTCCTTTAAGACAACAAAAAAGATGTGAACTTAATTTTCCTTTTGGCCTGTTGGAACCCTGATGCTGTCTTGTCTTATCACCCCTAAAACGACAAGATCACATCATTTCTATTTGCACAAGCAGTTACAAATGAGTTTATTCTGTCCAATGAACTTGGAGTAAATCAGTGTATGCTTCTCTCACTTTATTCGTCTCCCAGGCTTACATGTGCTTGTACTGGTGAATGTCTATGTGTACTTGCTCTCAAACTTTCTCACTGGCACTTCCCCTGCAACTTCTGGCACATCACTCAAACGTACTCTTCTACTCCACTGGCCTTGTCTTGGGGTTTCTAGTAATCCACCGTACCTAATGAGGGTTTTGACAACATTAACCTCATCTTCAACCATATCATGTGACGATTCTTTCATGTACTGCCCTTACCTACCCAGACCTTGCTTCACAATACGTAGTGATTTTGAAATCCTTTTAGGCATTTTAGTACAACGTGCTTCGACATATTATTGTTTATTTCCCGTAAAATAACATCATCTTTTAACATGAAACCCACTTTTGACATTTCCTTCCCTGTTATAGTTTTCATTTGTTTCTGTGGTGAAATTCCCAAGATTGTGTAACTCTCCAAGATTTTGTTACATCTTTCCATTAATGCTGCACTGCTGAACGTACTGCACTGATCTGTCGGACAAGCTAGTAACACCTATTTATTGTCTGAAACACAGTGTCCCTCTGATAAAAGGAAAACGGAAATTCCCAATATTGGCTGCTCACAACCTGATAGAATCTAGTTTTATGACATTTAATGGTACTCATTCCCTTTAAATTTCCAGATTCAACTAATCTTTTCAGTTCATTTTCTTATAGGTGGATTTCATGCTAGAGTTACTGTAAAGGGGGTTGACTTTCTATATTCTTGTGAGAGTGATCTGCATTCCAGCCCCTCTGAAGCACAGGAGTCAGCTGCATTTCAGATGATTACCAAATTACACTCGGGGGCAGATCACATGCATTAGATTGCATGATAGCAAAGAACATCAACACCAACATTTTCAAATTCTATTTCTAATGCTTCAGTTAGATACTGAAGGAACTCTATCCTGCTATCGTTTTTTTTTTTTTTTTTTTTTTAAATGCCAATTTGCTGCATTCAGTGGGTTTTGTCTGTAATTTAGTTCAAAGGCATGGCAATTCAACAACTAAATTTGGCTCTTTTCTAGGCAGCTTAGTTCTCTAGTTTCCAGGATTGTAAAATGTGGGGTATAACCCATTGCTAGCCTAATTTGACTAAGCTCATTTTAACTCAGCTAAACTTTAGAATGGATCGGGTCATGGCCAATCTAATGATTCAAATCTGTTTGACTCAAAAGATACTAATTACTTTGTAAGCGAAAACAATCAAAGGTAAATCGTAATCGAATATAATTAGACCTAGAAATATGTATTATGCTTGTGATTGTTTCAACAACTTGGATATTCGAAAGAGAGTAAGAAAAAGCTTGTTGAGAGAGAGAGAAATAGAAAGAAAAGATAGCTTATTATTGAAAAGATCCCCCTTTACAACATTGGGATTCTCCTTTATATAACAAGAGAACCCCCTCAAAAAAATAATAAAATAATACAGGGATAGGTCACGTGCTTTCGAGGAGACGACGAGACTCAAGGGCACACTTTCGCTCTGACATTCNCCGTTAGTTACGTAAGGTAAAGTTTCGACCAGTTGTTAGAAGACGGACGACGGGTCGGGGGGGGGGGGGGGGGGCGATCGTTTGAATTTGTTGATCTATTGGCGCGCAATCCCTTCCCTGAGATGACGTCACCATATGCAGGCGTCATCATTACGTGTGTTCCCGAGGAAGTACAAAAGGTGTTCTGTTGCTTGGTTTCCCGCGCCTGTTTGGGGTTTTGCCTCTTCGATTTCAACGCTACCCAACCCTATAAATAGGGAAAGGGTTCAACTTAACCTAACTTTAGATCATCTGCAAACGTTTTCCAACTATTTCAAGAAAACACTTCCTTTTTACGAAAAATCACTGCTTCCCTGAAAGTACACTTGTGGTTGCGTAGTACATCACTCCTTAATCGAAAACCATGACAAAACCTAAACGGGATAACGCTCCGGGGGCTCGTAATAATACATTATTTGACATACCGCCTCCATCCAGTGGCGATAACGGAGAGAAAGGGGAGGATCTCACCCCTCTTACCGTAGATAACGTGCTCCCGAAGCAACTCCTTATTAGGAGGGACTTCCAACGCGATTCTCCCGAACAACCTTGGGAGAAGTCTGAGTTAAAACAAACTGATTTAGATACTCTTCGTGCGTCGTATGATATACCTGCTCACGTGGAGATGGGTTTAGCAGGAGCGGACTACGCAAACACCCATAGATCGGGATACTGTACGTTTTATGAATATCCCTTTTTGATCGGCTACAGCCTCCCCATTTTTCCATTGGCGGAGGAACTCTGCCGTTACTACAACATGTGTCCCGCCCAACTCACTCCGTATACCCTAAAGGTATGTAGGGTAATGTCTACATACGCGGAGCTGGTCGGGCTGGAGGTCTCCGTCCACCACCTATTGCAGCTATTCAGCGCCAGCTATCTAAGGGGCACCATGCTGCATCTAAAGAATCGTGGTTCGAAGGGGTTGGTTGTGCAAACCAACGATCGGGCTAACCGGGGCTATTGGCGTAGATACTTCTTTATCAAGACGGAGCACCTGGTGTCTAACCCCGTCGGATTCCCTGAGAGGTGGAATTCGAGACGTAAGTATTACTATCCATCAAGTCGTTTATCGTACGTGACTTTAGCGGTTCCGATTATATCATCCTTATGATTTTTCTGTTATTTTGCAGCTATAGCTCACGTCCCCGGTTCATAACCGATATTAAGCAGTGGGTGTCCGGTTTGCTGCCTCTCGCGGAAGAGACCCGTACGTGGGCTGAATTCATTGAACGTTACGGTCCCGCGAGCCCTTCAGGTATTTCTTCGACTTTAATTAGTCGCTTTCACAAACTTCGTCGGCTAAATCACTTTTATTGCCAGGTCGAAGTGCTCCTAAGAGGAGGGCGACGACATCCGCCTCCTCCCGATCAGATGTTGATCAGAATACGCAGGAAATACTTTGTGCTTCTGTCTGGGAAGGGGTGATCGTAGCCTCTTTACAAGAGGCTGCTCCTGCGGAGGTGGCTATAAATGAGGCGGGGCCGTCGACATTGTCTCCGCAACCTGCGGACGAGCCTTCCAAGGGAGAGGAGCCTGAGGAGAGAAAAAGGAGGAGGCTCGTGATGGGTAAGGCGGTGGCGACTGGAGATGAAGAGGGTGACGCGCCTCGCCAAACAACTAGGCCCGTCTTTATGGCCGACGCCATCCGTTCGGGGAGGCCGGCCAACCAGATAAGTGCTAATGTTGGTACCAACTCGGCTCGTGTTTCCGAGGGTAGCTCATCGCCCCTTGTTGGTGGCAACGCTGGGGGCCCAACTGCTGAGGCCGCCCACGGGAATGTGGAAGAGGTGGTGGAAAACTCTGCACGCGTGGAGATGACAACAGACGGATCCGGCCGCCGCATCGTGATTCCAGGGGCTTACAACTTGTTACAGCACAGCGAGCGGGCTGCACTGGAGATGGCCCTACTGTGTGCTGCCCCTGAGCGTGAGATGCTGAGCATTGTCAGCGATGCGGAGCTGTCACGGAGGGTCGCTGGCATGGCGTTACAGGTAACTTCTCTGTTCTTCCGTGTGTCGTGAAGTTGATTTTGATGCGTACTAACTTACTTGCATGTATATGTTTTCTTCTTTAGACCCTGGTTTTGGAAGTGGAGAGGAGGCGCCGTGAGGAGAAGAGAACGATCGTTTTTGATAAGATGGTGAAGAAGTATAAACGTATCGCTCCAAGCATCAAGCGGCGGCGGATCTTTTCCGGCAAGATCCATAATTCCAGGTGTTCCGGGAGGGCCTCGAACAGAGGGAGGCACAATTGAGCCGTAGGGCGGCGGAGCTGGAGAAAATGGATGAGGAGTTGGTGAAGGCTGTGGCTCGTAATAGCGAGCTGGAATCACTCCTCAAGCTGAGGGAGGAGGAGTTGGAGCTTAGCCGTGGAGTGGCGGCGGAGGTAGTCGATCTTCACCGTAGGGTGGTGGCTTTGACAGCCGAGCTCGAAGCTAAGGCGGCTGAGATCGA